ATATATATATATATATATATATATATATATATATATATATATATAGGATCCTCCCTCACCTATGTGTGTAGGACCCAAAATGATTACCATTACAGTCGACATGGATCTCTAAAAAAATTATCACACGAGTATGTGACTTGACTTTTCTATAGATCCGTATCAAATTTAATAGTGATCCTTTGAGGTCCTCTAAATACGAATAGAGAAGGGTCCTATATAATCATTTATCTTTCATATATAAATATATATATATATATAAAAAACTCCTCGAACTTTAGGGGATTTGAAATCATCGTGTAAGGCAATGACCTTATTTGTAAAGATAAAAAATATTATATTTTTATTATTTTCAAAGGCATATCGATCTACGCTATCGAATTAAAATGATTATGACAGTAAAGTTGAGGATTTATATAACATTTTTTTACTTTTCAAAATTTCCAAGTAGCAACTCGGGTCTTTTCCCATAGGGAATGGATAAACCCCTCGATCGGCAAAAACATCGAGAACGAAAGAGCGAGAACGAGTGAGCTTGGTCTCACACTGCTTGAAAAATGGCAACATCGAGCCATCGAGGATTCTAAGAGAGATACTCTCTCTCTCTCTTCTGAAAATATATTGGAATTCAAGGGCGATCTAGGGCACCTTTCACTCGAATTTTCCCCCTCTTTTTCATTGCCTGCAGAGATGTACCAGTGGAGAAAATTCGAGTTTTTCGAGGAGAAGTCCTCAAAGTGCTTGATCCCATCAGAGATTGAAGGTAAAATCGAGTGTTGCTCAAGTGGAAGGGGAAGGATCGCAGTTGGTTGTGACAATGGCTCTGTTCATTTGTTGGATCGCGGCCTCAAATTGGGTTACAGTTTTCAGGCTCACGCCATGTCTGTACTCTTTGTTCAGCAGCTCAAGGTAAAGTCTAACGGAGATTCGTTATGCTATTTTTAATTGAAGTGTAAATTAGGAAAATCTCTAACGGAAGTTTGTTATTTTTCTGTTGATTGAGGTGAAATTCGTTGTTTAACTTGAGCTATTTTGCATCCTTTTACCCCTTGTTTCCCAATCAGCAATGACTTAATTCTTCCATGAATTTCAATTTCAACGATAGTTAACCAGTATACTTATGTGATTATGTGCTCTGATGATGCGAAGGAGGATTGCTTTCTCTTTTAGGGTTTGTTAATGAAACAGATTTACATATTATTATTATCATTAATTTTTTGCTTCTTTTGTGTGTGTGTGCGTGCTCATGCTTTTGTTTTTGTTTTGTGATCGTGTGAGACATGTCAAATTGTCTTAGTGAAACATGAGATGAAGCTTAAAATTCATGAACACCATCTTTCTTTTGTTTTCTGATTTTTTTTTTCCGGAATATGTGTGGGTCATGTTTTATTCATTGTTTATTGGTTATATGGAGGTCTCAATGTGAATTGCATCTTCTTTTTTTATTTATTTATTTGTGTAGAAAATAAAATGCAACTATTAAGGAGTTTCAATATTGTTAGGTTTTCTCCTTATGTGAGCTAAAAATGATCTAGGTAAATGCTCTATTAATGATCTCTGGCAAATGCTTGTGTTTGAACTTTGAACCACTGGCCTTACCCAAAAAAACAAAAAAAAAAGAAAAAAGAAAAGAAAGAACAACCGATGGCTTGTTCGGGTGGTTGAGGATTGCAGTGTTTGGGGATGGGAGGTTGTCAGAGTTTGTAGAAAAATTCATAAGAGTAGATTTTGATATTTGTCTGGAACTGGCAAGTATTGACATCCATTGCAAATGTTCTTCAGATCCTTACCTTGGTTTAACCCTATCACTGTATTGTAGAAAGTAATGGTTTGTATATTGTTGGAGTTGATGTCCTAGAGGGGATCAAACACTAAGATAATCGCATTAGAGGGCTAAATGAGGTTGTGCTGAAGTGAATCTATGACATGGTCTTTGTCGGAAAAATGTGGTCCTTCATGAGTGGAATCCCTTTAACAATTGACTTTATAGAAATGATTGAGAGTTAGGTTGCTTAAAAAGCTTATTGGTTAGCCATTGACCATGTGTTTTCTTGAAAGCCAGAGCTAATCAACTCCCTGAAGGGCAGAGGTTGAGGGCCTTGAGAAGAGTTTAGGGTAAGGCACCACCAAGATTTTGGGATTGTACTGGCTTGGATTGCTTCATACGTCATGCACGAGGATATTATGATCCAGGGAAATTATTGAGGTTTTTAGGTATAGGGAGTTGAGGATTCTTTTTCATCTTTAGTGAGATGATATAGGAAAAAAAAGAAAACAAATGGATGGAGGAAGTTAGTTACTAGAAAATGCTAAAAGGAAAGGATTGAACGACTTCCTGTGTTTGAGGTGGTGCGATGGGTTGTGGGCTTCCTGTATTTGAGGTCTTGATGGAGCTTCTCTAATTCTATCCCATGTGAAGAGGACTGGATCATTCCATGAGTATTTTTCTTTGGTTTCTATGTGGGGAGAAAAGGGAGCGTGGGATTAAATGAAGGGCTTTTTTTTTTAATAAGATCAAGGGCTTAGGCTTGGGGATTCTATAGGTTAGTATTTCCAAAGAATGCACACAGGGTTGGACTTTAAGGTAGAGGTGGCACTTTAGGTTCGACCTCGACCCAAATTTTGTCTTTTTTTTTGTTTTGTTTTTTCTTTGGGGGGGGTTGTTGGGAGGACCCAGAGTCGACCCGGAAATCAATTCGGGTCGACCACACGACCTGAGTCAATCTGTTTTTGTAATATTGGTAGTGTATTGATTTAATTAAGGTTTTGATTAATTAAGTTATTATTAAATATTTAATTAACATTTAATATGTGAGTTTGTGCGTTCTTCGCGGTTGATATAGTTTTGATTGACGAGACTAGAGGCGGCATCAAGATTCCTGAATTGCATGCTGATTATTGATCATGTACATTCGTCGGATTTGCAGTAATGTGGATTAAGCCCTCTAATGAATATTTCATATAGATTCGTGATATATAATATAATGTTCTCATTTGAGAGGTAGATGACGTTTTCGTGATATTTAGGTTCGCTTAAAAAGATTATTGAATAGCATCCATGTGAGATTTCTTGTCTCTCATTTTTATAATAAATTATCTATATTGTTTTATGTATCAGCAACGCAATGTCCTATTAACTGTTGGCGAGGATGAGTCTGCATCACCTCAGCTATCAGCTATATGTCTCAAAGTCTTTGATCTTGATAAGATGGAACCAGAGGGTTCAAGCACCAGCAGTCCTGTTTGTGTTCAAATATTGCGGATTTTCACCAACCAGTTTCCTGCAGCAAAGGTATCATTCAGTCAGTTCCAAGTTAATATTCCTTTATATTCTCATGGAAGCACGGTTGTTTTTCTTGTTCCTGGTGTGGTAACAATTATCACTTATGAGCATTTCTTGGTGAGGTAATCTCAATGGAAAGTGAAAAGGGTGAGAAATTTTTATGAAATAGTACATTTCTAAATAAAGTAGAATAGAGAGACATTGAGTATCTTTAAGCATATAACTTCTACTTCTAGAGTTTACATTTTTGTATTACTGCATGACTTGACTTCTATTTTTGGGAGGATACAGTCACCATTGGTTCGAGTTTGTTTCGTATTGTCAATTTGAATCCTATCCTCTTTCTGGTTTTGTAACCAATAAAATTTTGCGAGCAGATCTGAGGATAAAGCATGTCACTCTGGATGGGTTCTGAATCTCTGTATGCTAACGCAGATTACATCCTTTCTAGTTCTTGAAGAGGCTCCCCCAATATTACTTATCTCTATAGGATTGGATAATGGCTCCATTTACTGCATCAAAGGTGACATTGCTCGTGAGCGTATCCAGAGGTTCAAGTTACAGGTCGGGTCTACCTCGGACTCTGTTACTGGTCTTGGATTTCGGGTCGATGGCCAAGCTCTTCAGCTATTTGCTGTTACCCCTTCCTCAGTGAGTTTGTTCAGCATGCAAGACCAACCACCAAAGAAGCAAACATTAGATCAGATTGGATGTGAAGCTAATAGTGTTACAATGAGTGATCGTCAGGTAAAGAGTTCTGTGCCCTTCTTCCAAACATTAAGTCCCCCAACTGCTTCTTAATATGCAAAGGCTATGTGTGTGTGTGTGTGTGTGTGTGTGTGTGTGAGAGAGAGAGAGAGAGAGAGAGAGAGAGAGAGAGAGTAGTGGTCCTGTCGTCTGTCGTGGTCGTCTTCTCTCTCTACTAACTCTCTCATCTATTCTAGTGTAGTGGTGACGTCGGACCGGAGGTACTAATAAGTGATATCAGTCGACCTAC